TCCAATTCATATCCCCAAGGCTCTATATTTTACGCATATCCAATTTACCACGTAGATCTCTATGGCAACCAATCCTTTTTCTCCTTCCTTTTAACTTATCTTCCATTCCCTCATAGTTTACTACATAGTTTTTTACCCTCTTCCTCTTGGAACCAATCTTTACCCAGGATACGACCAGTATACATCCGAATTTTTAAATTCTAACCACTTCCACCATATTTGAAGATATAACCCATAATTATCTTGCTTCGTCATTACCATTTCTTCCATCAATCTAGTGGCGTCCATCTTGGTCAACCACTCGTCACTGGACGGGATTTTGATTGTCCCCCAGTGCCTCGGGATCAGTGATTTGGCTGCATTTAACATATGGGGTATTAAAGAGTTTTTATAAACTTTAACTGAATATATTGATTCCTCCTGCCCGTGCACCTTCCCCCAACTTTTCCCTTGAGATTGTTAACACAACTATCCAGTCCTCCCCCCATGCCAAGGTCCCTAGGTGTCATCCAATCGCTATCCAAATCATGCCGCCTCCACCTTCGTAACATCTCCAAAATACGCTCCTTCCTCACCATAGATACCGCAAAATTACTCATCCACTCCCTTGTTATCTTTCGTCTTGACTATTGCAACTCCCTCCTCATTGGCCTACCTCTACACAGGCTATCCCCCCTTCAGTCTAACATGAATGCAGCTGCTAGACTCATCCACCTAACCAACCGCTCAGTGTCTGCAACCCCCCTCTGTCAATCCCTACACTGGCTTCCTATAGCCCAAAGGATAAAATTCAAAATATTAACAACCGCGTACAAAGCCATCCACAACTCTGGCCCCGGCTATATCTCCAACCTGGTCTCAAAGTATTACCCTAAGCGTCCCCTCCGCTCTTCACAAGACCTCCTGCTTTCCAGCTCCGTCATCAACTCCTCCCATGCCCACCTTCAGGACTTCACTAGAGTGTCTCCCATTCTATGGAACTCTCTACCCCAACCTGTCCGTCTATCTCCCACACTGACTGCCTTTAGGCGATCCCTTAAGACTCATCTCTTCAGGGAAGCCTATCCCACCTCAACCTAACCACTGAACAATCACTTTCTCAAACAATCATCCCCGCTCAGCTACCTCCTTATGTATCACCTGCCCCTCCCTGTTAGATTGTAAGCCCTCACGTGCAGGGCCCTCCTTACCATCTTGTCTTAAATTGTATTGTGACTGTAATGTCTTCCTTATATTGTAAAGCGCTGTGCAAACTATTGGCGCTATATAAATCCTGTATTATAATAATAATAATAACTGAATCTGTTGTAAGGTGGAATAAAAACACCCAAGGGTCCATAGGTAGTTGTACCTCGCATATTTGCATAATGATATCCCTCACTATTCCCCAGTATGGTTTTATCTTGGGGCAGTCCCACCATATATGCGCAAAGGTTCCCTCCCCTCCGCATTCCCTCCAACAGCCCGCTTCATTTGAAGGATGTATCCTTTGTAATGTCTGCGGAACATGGTACCACCGTGTTAGCAGTTTATAATTTGTCTCCATTGTTCTCACATCTAAAGTTGTGGTAGTTGCTAATCTTAATATTTTCTTTACTTCTTCCTGCGTAAGTGTCTGCTTAAATTCCCTTCCCCATTTTCTCAAATATTTTGGAATTGTTTAATTTTCCTTTATAATAATTTCTTTATATACAAGTGAAAGACAGTGTTGAGGTGCTTGTTTAGCTCCCATAATAGACTCGAACACGGTCAAACCCCTGCCTGTTCTCAGAGGTTTAGGTAAGGTTTGAAAAAAATGTTGTAATTGCTGATATCTCCACCAATCTAGTGGGTAACTTCCCCATTTCTCTCTCAGCTTCTGCAAGGAACTGATTGTAGCCCCTGACATGATGTCATTCACTTTTAGATGAGGGGATTTACTCCAGTTTAAATAGGGCGTATCGGATTTGCCTGGCGGGAAATAATCGTTCCCCAATAATGGTATAAGAATTGAGTTATAATCCCATCCATATCTACGACAGGTCCGATCCTATGTCTGTAACGTCGACATGGTTAGAGGTGATACATTTATAGACAACTGTCTCTTGTCATTGGGATCCAATTTATCCCCGCCAGGTCAACCCCCTAAGTCCCATCTCCAACCGTACCCAGCTTTTCTGTCCTGTTCCAAACGTCCAGTCAGCTAACCTAATCAGCTGGGCCACTGTATGATAGATCCCGAAGTCCGGTAGGACCAGTCCTCCCTCTTGTCTCTGTCTACTCAGGGTATTCCCTTATAGTCTTGGTTTTCTATTTTGCCAAACATATCTGGCTATAACCCTCTGTAGAGTTTGGAAAAAAGTCCTAGGTATCTCAATCGGTAGCATCTGAAATACAAATAGTGCTTTTGGGAGGATCATCATCTTTATCACATTCATTCTTCCCACCCATGAAAGCTTCCATAATGAAAAAGATGTTAAATCTGATTTAATTGTATTCAATATCGGGATATAATTAGCTTGGTATAGCTCCGAAAATCTAAGTGTTAAATTGTTTCCTAACTATTTAAGCCTGTCCCTCTTCCATCGGAAAGGGAAGTAAGAAATTAGCGCCTGTCTCTCTCTTTCTGACGTTTATATATTTAAAATCTCCGATTTATCTACATTGATTTTAAAATTTGAGAGTTCTCCATATTCATGTAGTTCCCTTAATACTTGGAGTGTTGTTCTAGGATATTTTACATATAGCAAGATGTCATCTGCGTAAGTAGCTACTTTAAATTCCCCCGCTTGTGTCTCTATCCCTTGGATGTTTTGGTTCAGGCGAATTTTGGCTAGCAGGGGTTCCAATGACAGGGTAAAGGGGAGAGGGGCATCCCTGACGTGTTCCATTGTGTTGTGTAAATTCCTGCGACGGAACCATTATCACTTTCGCCATTGGATTAGCATATAGTGCAGATATCCAGTGACTCATCCTCTTCCCCAACCCCAGGATAGTCAGTGTACTAAACATAACTCCAGTCTACCCTGTCAAATGCTTTTTCAGGATCTATTGACAGGAGTAGCACCGGTAGCCCCTGCCCTATGGATCAGTAAGGTCGTTTTGATGGCATTGTCTCTATCTTCTCTTCCCGGTATAAATCCCAGCTGGTCTACATGTATCCAGGTTGGGATGAAGGGGCGTAGTCTGTATGCCAATATTTTTGCATAGATCTTTGTGTCTAGATTCATAAGGGAGATAGGGCGATAACTTACACATAAACTTGGATCTTTTCCCACCTTTTCAATCACTGTGATATTCGCTTTCAGTGCTTCTGGGTGCTTCGCTTTCAGTGCTTCTTAGAATTTTCCGGTATAAATCCAACCTGGTCTACATGTATCCAGGTTGGGATGAAGGGGCGTAGTCTGTATGCCAATAGAGTTTACATAAGCACAAAACTGCTTATTTAAGATGTCTTGGAACCTCTTATAATACAACAGAGTGTATCCATCAGGCCCCGGGCTCTTGCCTAACTGAGTTGAAGCAATTACCCTTTTGCATTCCTCTGGGGTAATATCTGTTTCTAATGTATTTAACAATTCCACTTCTGTCCTTGGGAGTCTGGCCTGTGTTAGATATTTTTTAATTTTCTCTATTTTTTTTTCTGCCCTCTCCAGTGGTGTACCCTGTTCTCCCGACTCCTTTATTTGATATAACTTTTGATAGAAATCATGGAAGGTCTCTGCCTTTTTATTATTTTAAATTTTCGCTATATATGTGAGATTGTTTAGTTTTAAGCGCTTTCGCCATAAATTTACTTGGTTTGTTCCCCATTTCGTAAAATTGTCTGTTTGCTATGTTAAATGCATGTTTAGTTTCTGCCTCTAGAACTACTTTTAGTTGTTCTCTTTTTATAGTTAGTTCACTGAGTGTCCTAGGACCTAGTGTTGTTTTATGTGTTCTTTCCAGTTGTTTAATTGTTTCCAGTAATTCTCTCTTACGGTTGGCCCCTATTGAGACCAACTTACCTCTGAGAACTACCTTATGTGCCTCCCATATAGTTACCGGTGACATTCCCTCCGTTATATTATCTCGAAATTTTTTTTTCAAACCTCCCCCAGTTCTTGAACCACTGACTGATCATGTAACAAGGAGTCGTTCAATTTCCAATTATATTGCTTCCCCAATATTCCAATTATATTGCTTCTGCAGGGGCATGGTCTGAATTCGTCATGGGGTGAATATTTGCCGACCTTTACAGACTCAATTGCCACGTGATCTATCAATATCCAGTCCAGTCTGGATTATGAACTAGGGTTGCACAGATGCCAAGTACAGTACTCGGTACAAGTACGAGTACATGTACCGATACTTTTGAGCTCCAAGACTAGAGTAGAGAAAAATTCAAAAATTAGGAGGCAGCTGTCATTTGTAAGCAGCACACGGAGCTCCTGGGATTTGTACATCTCTGTTTTAATGTACGATTTTGTTTTTATAAATATAAATAAAGGGACGCCAGAGCCCTTACCCTGCTGCAACCCTGGTAGTTCTCCTGAAAATGCCAAGTATCTGCACTGGTACTCAAAGTATATGTGCATCCCTAGTATGAACTATACAACTGGGAGTAGTATGTAAAATCGCGCTCCGTTGGGTGCAGTATTCGCCATTTCTCTAGCACTTAATATTTGGACATCACCCTTTTCAGGCGAGTTAGGTGTGAGATAGGGTTACGTATCCTTCCCGATGAAGTATCTAGCATTGGGTCAAGGCATATGTTAAAATCCCCTGCTATCACCAGCCTACCCTTCCGAAATTCCCCCAGCTTCCTGAACACCTTTAATAGGAAAGGGACTTGCAACCGATTAGGGGCGTATATATTCACCAGTGTGTATTCTGTCCCATTGATCGTTGCCTGTAGAAATAAGAATCTTCCCTCTATGTCTGTCAGTCGGGAGTGTACTTGTACTGCCGTATTTTTACTAAAGCCTATAGCTACCCCTTTAGATCGTTTGTTATTTGAAAGACTATAGTACCATTGCGCATAGTTTCTAGAACGTAAATATGCGGAAGACGTGTGGGAAAAATGCGTCTCTTGCAAAAAAAACTACATCTGCCCCACATCTTTCCATTTCCATCAAAATCTGGAGTCTCTTAGTTGCTGAATTTAACCCCCTTACATTATAAGAAATTATTTTAGTGGTTGCCATATCCTTCCCTGGTTCTGGAAGATCTTAGTCCTAACTTGAGCCTTGAACTC